GCGGGGGCCACAGGGGGGCGGGAGGGGCGCGGGGGCCGCTCACTTCGTATTTCTGCTGCTTGAACTTCTCCTGCAGGTCGAACTTCTCCGCCTCCAGGTTGTAGATGCTCTGCCACAGCTCCTTGGCCTTCTCCCTGCACAGGCCACAGCGGAGATTCGGGGGACAGCGGGCAAGGAGGACGGGCCCATCTGCCTCCATCCTGATCCTGGCCCAGCCTCCAGGGGCCCCAGCCCTCTTTCCCACCTGCCCACCTGCTGAGGGCCCCCCGGCCCGGCACTGCTCAGCACGGGGCCCAGATGGCAGTGCCCAGGGCTCAGGACCTGACACCGGGGCTGCCAGGACCCGGAGGACAGGGAGGAGGCCTGCAGCCCTGGAGAGCATCTAGGTCAACCCCATTCCCACACCTGCGTGCAGGGGGCAAGGTGAAGCCAGAGGGCTGAGACGCTGCTCTACCCGCAAAGCCAGGTGGGAGCTGGCTGCACCTGCGGGCGCTCACCTCCCGCCCCACCCCCGCCCCGCAGAATGTGCGAGGCGGCACCGCCCCCTGGTGGCGGCGGCCACGATGCGCCCCGGCCCCACCTCAGCTGGTCTTCACCGAGGTGGTCGATGGCCAGCACCTTCCGCCTCTCGGCCAGAATCTTCTTCTTCTTTTCCCGCTCTGTCTGCCTCTTCCCGCTTCTCCGCTCCGTCTGGAGTGGACAGCGAGCAGGGGGAGTTGGCTAGAGCAGGGGACCCCAACCCCCAGGCCGCAAACCTGTCAGGAACCGGGCCGCACGGCTGGAGGTGAGCGGCGGGCGAGCCAGCGAAGCTCCGGCTGCATCTGCGGCCGCTCCCAGCGCCGGCATCAGCGCCTCGGCTCCGCCTCAGACCACCGGGTGTTAGATTCGCAGAGGGGCACCGGCCCCTGGTGCCAAAAACGTCGGGGACCACTGGGCTAGAGCACCCCCCGCCCGTCCCCCAGCCCTCCTGAAACCGTGGGGCGTGGGCAAGGCTGCGGACACCAGATACAGCGCCTCCCCTCCCGCAACGCCCACCCCACCCCCTCCCCGCCGATTCCCGGGGAAACCGAGGCACAGCCCGGGGGTATTTTGGCCCCTCTTCCTCGGCCTCAGTCCCCCGCCTCCCCTCCCAGGGAGGTCCCAAACCCGGAGGAGGTTCGTACCCACCTGCGCCTGCTAAGCCAGGACACGGCCCAGAGAGAAAGACGGAGAAGGTGACAGGGACAGAGAGAAGGGGGCAGAGAGTCACAGGGAGCAGGAGGGGACCCAGACCTCGCTCGCTAGTCCCTGAGTCTGGGCGGCAGCAAGGCCGGCCACTGTGGGGACTTTGCAAAGTCCATTTGATGCCCCATCCGCCCCCAACAGCGAAGTGTCCAGCAGGAGTGGGACGGAAAAGTTAGGGACCAAGAGTGGCCCCGGGAATAAGCCACCTCACGTCTGTGGGCTCACCCGACCTCCACGCAGGCGGGCGGCCATGCTAATCCCGTTTGCAAAGGGGGAAACTGAGGCCCAGCCGCAGCCGCCTCCTGCCTGTCTCCGCCAGGCCTGTGCCAGCTGCACCCAGCGTCCCGGGAGCTCAGCCCGCTGCCGGCCAGCGGGGGGGTGTCCGGCCTGCTCACAGCCCAGCACGGCACCGCAATGTCGCCGCCCACCGCAGCGGGGCGGTCCCTCCTGGGGCCAACCCAGGGTCCCTGCCGCAGCGACGCCCGTGCCCGCTCACCTTCTGGATGTAGCCCCCGAAGTGCATCATGTTGGACAGCGCCTTCTTCTTGCGGGCCTCGTCCTCCGCCCTCCGCCGGCTCTCCTCCTCCTCCCGCCTGGCCCTCTCCTCCTGGGGGTGTGGGGGGAGCAGGTGAGGGGCAGGCGCTGGTGGCCTGTGGATGGGGGCGGGGAGTCCCCGCGGCTGCAAGGAGCTTTGTCAGTGAAGAGCGAATGATGAAGGACAGTTGGGGCCCGGCACGCCTCAGGCCCGGAGGTCCCCCAGGAGGCCTGCTGCTTGGCAGGGCGTCGGGCCACGGGCCCTTGGCCTCCCAGGAGCCGTGCTGGGTAAGGGACAGGGTGGAGAGTCTCTTCGGTCCCGAGCTCGCGAGGGCTGGACCTTTCTGCCTCGTCCACTGTGCGTCAGCCCAGGCCCGTGCCGTCCCACCCGAGGGGGCCCGGC